TATGTAATTTTAGTATTTTATACTAAACTAATAATGCCGCTATTTAAATTATTATTTTTTAATTGCAATTTCGCTACAAAAAAAAAATAACAATAATAACAACAGGCGTTTAGCGTTAATAGCCGATTGATACGTATTCAACATAAACTGTGTCATTGGCCGGATGCAATTATTTTCGAAAATTGCTTAATTTCTTTTATAAACAATAACTCAAGCGGCCAAGGCAAAAAATGCAAATTATTTTCTAAGTGTTATATTTAAATAATTTAATGACAAATGGAGTTTGTTTAAGCAAAATATTACACGCTAGAATGAAGCAAATCAGTCGAACATAGCAAGTGTGAAAATGACATAATTTAATTATTGCTCGCATAAAAGGTTAAAACCGCTGCTTTGGCAATAAAAAATAAGCATTAATTTAATTGACAACTAAATCTAAATTGTTGTTTTAATTGACTGAGTATGGTGTGAAAATTTCGGTGTAACAATTGTATTTGATAATTGAGCAAAATAAATTAATAAACTTTGTCATTTAATAATTATTAATTTTTTATTTTTAATATAAATCTAAAGCCTAGAACACAACGCAAAATATAAAAAACCTAAAAATTTAAAATATTTTTAAAATTAAATTTATAAAAATTTTATCTAAAAGTAACTTACTCGAATCAAATAGACCACTTTGAAAAAAGTATTAACAAGCTTTTTGCTGTAATATTTTTTTAATGTCTACTCTAATTTTATTAAAAGTTTCTCTAGAAGTAACTTCTTCGTCACTTTTTTGAAATTTGTTTTACAAGCAAAATTTCGTAGTTATAATAAAAGAGGCGAAGCAATTTTATTACTAGAATATTTTTTTTGTTAAAAACTTAAAAATATAAGAAAGCTTCCAATAACACATACATATATGGCAAAAAGTTGCCTTTTGCATACCAAACTCAGCAAAAAGTCATAGTTTCATAAACATTTCACGCATATTTCGCAACTCGGTGCAAGTGAATTACACACACCAAGATTATTTGGAAACCATGTCTAAACATATTTCACTTTCAACAACACCAAAAATAGCAAAACTACGAAAAACACAGTAATATGAAAAAAAGCTTGCTGCCAATGCATAAAAATCGTTTACCCACAATTTGCAATTCATACGATTTTTATGTGAAATAACATTTAGAAGTTAAAAAATATGTAGAACGCATTCATTAAAGCATAAAATATGTGCACAACTTTGGCACTCACCTTTAACTTTGCTTGAACCGATGACACCGAATTGTCCCTGATATTGATTTTGTACTGAGAGCACTTCCATTTTCTGGCGCAGCTCCTCGAAGACTTGATCGATGTGGATCAAATCGTTGGCGTGGCGTTCCAGCTCGGCGTCCAATTCGAATTGTGCCTCGAAATCGCCGAACGCGTCGTCGCGCACACGCTCTGCCCCAGCCAGCGTCAATTCCTGCACCACTGCCGCGTCTGCGGGCGCTGCTTCGACTGGCTCAATTTCAGTCTCGCTGTCGTCGTCAATGTCACTATTGGCGCACGCGTTGACAAGGTCGCTACTCTTGCGCCCGATTTCTGCTTCCACTTCGTCTTCGACTTCACTTTCAGGCGCACCTTGAACCTGCAACTGTGCAACACGCTTACGCGTAGCACACGCTCTTTGCTGCTGTAGTGTTGCAACGCTTTTGGCACGCTCGCCGCTGGCGCTGTAGCGCCGCTGTTGCCGGCGTTGGGCAACAGCCGCTGCGTCCAAGTAGCCGCTTGTCTTCTGATCGACGGTGGTCGCTTCGACGGCTGCCTCCGTGACTGGGCTGGGCGGTATGTCGACGGCCGCGCTGACGGCGGTGGCGGTGCTAACAAGCGCAAAGAGATTCTTAATGCTTGTGGTGGATGTGGTGCTGCTGGCGTTAACTGGCTGTGTACACGTGTGTTGATGGTTGCTGTCGCTCCCAGCCGCTGCTGCTGCTGTTGTTGCTCTTGTTGCAGTGCCCGTGGCTGCTGCTGTGGTTGTGTGGTTGTGATAGCGTGTTGTTGTAGTGTTGCCAATTTTAATGTTGTTGGCGCTGCAGTGGACTGCAGCGAACGTGGTGAGTGGGAAAATGAACAATTTCACGTACTTTTTTGTTTTGTTTTCTTTTGAGCGTCGCGTATGCGCGTGTGTTTTTGGTGTTGTCGTGTGTTTATTAAATTTACTGCTTAGTTATAATGAATGATTTCTTATTTCTTCAGTTAAATTACGCTTAGAGAAATGCACTTTAATCACAAAAATTGTTTTCGTTTTCTTTTTTATATTAAAATTAAAGACACACAGTTGAAGAAAGTATACACAAAACGGCACAAATCTCGAAACACTGACCTGCTGGCGCAACTGACTGGATCCTGCGAATTCTTCCACTTCAATGCTTCGCTTGACGCCACATGCTGCTGCTTTAAGTGCGTTTTGAAGAACCGATCTGCTGCGTCCTCTTATTAAGTTTCACTTTAGTTAAACGCGTTTGGTTTCCATAGATTATTATTTAATTAACAATTATTAAACATTAATGATAATTTATTGTGTCTATTAGTAGATTTTTAAATTTTTTTTTATATGTTTTACTTAACAAAAACGAAATTGGAAAATAACAACTAAGTTCAATTTGAAATTGTCTGTGCTCCTTTTGTCGTCGCCACTGCTGCTTACACGCTGCAATTTGTTATTCTAAGTTTGTTTTGTTGCTTTTGCATTAGTTTGTGTTTTATTAAAACGGTTTTATCGCTACTTTTGCATTACTTTGTAATTTGTTTGTTGTTGTTGATTATTATTTGTATTATTATGCTTGTTTAAAAAGGCGTTAAAAAAGGAGTAGTTGTGTACTAGTTCCACCGCTGCGTTCTATTTCTTTTTACTCTAATTAATTGTTACTGTATTATGCGCGGTTGCTTTGTAAATATCTACCTCAATGCTTTCGAAATATATTTTTCTCGTGTGTAATTCGCGTGAATTTTTCGCTTTGTCGAAATTTAATTTACATTTTGGCGAATTTTCTGCACGTACACGTATATTTTTTTGAATAATTTTCGCACACCGCTGCTGCCTTATTTTCAACAGTTATTAATTGCTCACTTTTTATTGTTATTGTATTTTATTAATTTTTGTGTAGTTACTTTGCATTAATTTTATAAGTTGTTAAGTATTTTTTAAAAAATGAAATGATTTGTATCCCTGAACTTGTGTGTATTTTACGCTTAGCTAGTTGCAAGTCGCCACTTTCAGCCGCTGCCGTTAAATCTACGCCACGAAATCTGGTCGCACAAATTTCCGTGTGTCGCGTGAATTTTTACTAATTTACACTGACTGCAGCCATTCGAATTTTTTCGGCTTTTTCGACGTTTTTCGCTGCCTGATTGTGTGGCTTTTTAGCTTACGACTTGTCGGCTTCCTGGCCGTGGGAGTTTCCTTGTTCCTTGCTCAGCTGCTTAGTAGCTGCTTATTTGTCTACGCTTTGTAGGCTTCGTCGTCAACTCCTCTTCGCCTCATTCACAGCACTAAAATATCACTTTTTATTTTTATTTTCTTATATTTGTGGTTTTTAGCCTTTTTGCACTGGTTTCAACTTTTTGCCGTACGCCGCTCGCTTGGTCTTCTGCACTTAGGCCGGAAATTTGCCTGCAACACTTCTTTTTTGTTGTGAAATATTTTCGCCTTTCCGCTGCGTTTTGTCGGCTTTTTTGTGCTTTTTATCTGCGCCTTGATTTTTCTTTTGCGTTGTTTCCTTTTTTTTTCGTTTGTATTTTTGCGGTTTCTTGGGGCACTCTTTTACTGTAAATTTGTGCCTTCACTGCTATTTCGTTGCCGTTTTCTTGTATGCACTTTGTTTGCGCTTCTTCTATTTTATCTTCACAACAAAAAGAAAACTGTCTGCTCTCTTTCCGGCTACGGCGTTTGGGGCTGCCACCACAATATCAATGGCAAATTGGACTGCTTCCTTCAGTTGCTTTTGCAACTCTATTGCGAAAATGGTTTTATTTCATAAATGTTACTTCCTTTTGCTTAAACGTAGCGTAGGCAGCTTTTCAAGTTTTTGGCATCGACGTTGCTCCTTCGTTACACAGAGTTTCGCCGGCTGAACAGTAGCTTTGGTTGTCTTTGGGCTGTGCGTCGTGTGGTCGGTTGGCTGGCTATGTATCACGTCGTCGTCTCGTCTTTGCTAATTTCCGTTGCTTTGCGCTAGCTCCTCTACGTCGTCTTGCACCAGATTCACTGACGTTGCTTACTCGACGCTCTCTCAGCTGCTACTGACTGCCTCTGTCGCTGGCACTAAGCTCCAAGGCTCGGTGGTCCACTATTTTGGCTCAAACGCGTCACTGTGTGCTCACTCGTTAGCTCCGGCCTGTGTTACTCTGTTGCTGCTCAGCGCTTTTGTGCCTTGCTGGAGCTATCGCTTGTACGTTTGGAGCCTCGCTCTCACTCACTGCACGGCTCGTGCTACTTGCAGCTGATTTGCTTTTCACTCATTTGCCGTTTGATTGTTTTCGTTGTTGCTGTGGCTGTGGCTGTTACTGCTAAGCGTTCGCTGGTACGTGTTGAAATGGTTGTTGCTTGTTATTGTTGTTCGGTAGCTTCCTGACTGGTTTTTGTTGCGCTTGCCGCTGTCAATGGGGTACTTACTCTTCACTCGTGTGCTCTCTGGCTGTTCAATGCTTTTCCTACTGATTTTGGTGCTAATTTAAGAACTTTTCTGCTGTAAAAATTTAATTTACGGACTTTGCTGAATTTTCGAAATTTTACATTTTTATCTTGCGCTTTCAAGTGAACCGATTTTATTGCTTGCTAATTGGACAGCGAGAGTGCTGTTTGGGGTTATTTATTTATTTATTTATGTTTTGTGCTTTTGTTGATTTGTCGTTGGTTGTTTTTGCTATTTTTGTTAAAGTTCTATTTAATGCGGTGCATCGTCAAGGGCTTTGCCGACTATTTGCTCAATAGAATTTCACACCATTAATTTTTCAACTTCATCGAGTCAAACAACAGTGAAAATTACATATGTCAGCTGTTTTCCGGTATGGTTGTATGTGTATTGCGCATATGTGTGTGTATGGAAAAAAGCTAGAAAATATGGCTTGATTTTCGCTTGAATGTCTATGGATTTGGTGCTCGGTTTATTTGTCAAGTCTGTTCTTTCTGGCTGGCTGGTTTATTGGATTTGTGAAATTAACAACAGTTTCTTTTATTTTTCTTACATGTAACAACAGATTTTTGGTTGAAACTTAGTTTTTTAGCGTTTCGGTTTTACAAAAACTGAATTCAGAGTAAATTATTGCAGTCCTTTGTCATATGTCTATTTTTGGTTGCTTGTAATGATTTGCCTCTTACTGTCGTCGTCGTCGTCGTTGTCTTCGTAGTCGTGCTGTGGTGTTGTTACTTATGTTCTTTTAAAAAATTGTTCCTCTTCTTATTCTACACAAACCAATTTCCACGTTACGTTTAACCAGCAGAGTTGTTACGAAGCTACTGGATCCGACCGGCTCAAAGTGCTGCTATTTATAGGGCTACCCAGGTCGTTACAATCAACGATTTTTTCCATACACAGACGGGCCATCACTGTAAAGCAAGGCAAACCAACCCAAACAGCCAACCGACCGACCGACCAACCAAGCAATCAACCAACCAAACTAACAACAACGATCCGGCTAACGATTTGTATCTTTCAGATCCCTACTCTCCGCTTACATTATGACACAATGCAACGCACCTACAAACCTATACTTAACAATTGTTCGGGTGCGCTTGTTTTTGCATTTAATTGTATGAGTGACTTCGTGAAAACGAGTTGAGTGAGTGACTGTGAGTCTCACTTTCGCAAAGGTGTTGCACGCATTTGCCCCAACTCTTTGCCATGCGCTATTAGTAACCAATGAGCACCTTCTCTCTCACTCTCTCTAGCTGTCATATCGCACAGCTGAACGTGCGGAACATCTGTTTCAGCAGCACAGGCAATCAGCTGATTTTTTTCTTCACTTCTCCGATTGCGCACGCACAGATGTTTTCGGAGCGTACTAAGAGTGTTGAGTGAGTTGTTGTATAGGTAATTATTTTGAGCTGGAATTGCGCACTTGCTGAGTGGTGTTAATATTAAATGAGAAACTTCAATATTGCTATTAGATTTGAGTGAACTGTTTCCGTTTTATATGTGAGAACGATATATTTGAAACCCTTGTAATCCTTGTGTACATTGCAGGAAGAGCTGTTTCTGCAGAGAGAACTAACAATAATATTCACTCATAAAGTAAAGTGGTGCTCAGTGCCTGAGTTTTGGGACTTTGTATGCTGTACATGGCAATCAGCTGGCATAGATTAACAAGCTTTGTAGTAAAAGAGCAAATTTTGCTCAACTTGCTAGCTAAAATAAATATATAGAAAGTCTTATTTTAAGAGAACTGTGTTTGAAATGCTTAAGGTAAATGTGAAATCGAATAGTATATAGAAAGCGTGACTCAATGCTTTCATGCTCAAAGTTATGTATATTCTCAAACCAAGAGAACATAACAATACTAATTTATATTGAAAGATGCGACCAGACTGTTTTCTCAAGAAGTATACGTTGTATACAAATCGAAGGGAGTTGAGTACAAATAGACTCTGCACTAGCAATAAGTTATTTTGTGAGCCAATTGTCATTGAGTGCTAATGGCAAATTTGCAGAGGTTGAGTGAATATTTGAATTCTATTATAAAATATACCTAAAGTAAATAAAGTTGAGTAAAGACGACAATTTTGCTGAGAAACTTTATATTATGCTCGATGAGCAACATTTCAATGGATGAGAGATGTAATTTTGTTGCACAGAATATTATTTCAAAAATACCTCTCGCCGAGTGGAATATACTAATATATAACTTTCGCTCTTAAATACAAAGCATTTTAAAGGCAAGAGTTGGAAGGCGCACAGCAAAACAGCTGTAAGCAATTTTACAAGACAAGTTTTGGATGAATGTATATATGTACCTATACTTTTACTCAATGAAAATTTGAATTTACTCACACCACTCAAAACGATATTTTAAGCGAAAGACTTTTGAATATACAATACTTTACATGAACTTCATGCTTTTACATTTGTTTCAAGTTAGCATATTTTTAAAGGCTTTACGATTAACTCAACAATTTTTAATATGATTTGGAAAATCCACAAATATCTGACGGTAATTATAGAATTGATTTTTCCACTCACCTACGAGTAAGTCACCCTTATATGTATACGTACGTTATTCTGCTGGCATTAACTCGCTCTTTTGCACATTTGTATGCTTATCCTGTTAATAATTGATTTTTCCCAAACGAAATGACTCTTTATTCTGCAAGCGTCTCTGCAAACACACTTACATATGTATTTACGTACATATATTTATACACTTATATGCCTAACTGTGCACCGCGATACTCAATCCATGCCTCTCATTGCCACAGAGTAGTTCTTCTCTGTTTTACCCTGCACCAAACCCCGTGTGGCCTACGTGACTTTTTATCGCCGTATACCTTTCGCATCCTATGTATTTTATTTTTAACGCTCAGCTGTTTTCCACCCTGCCACAGGAACGCGCAACAAATTTCATTCACTCATTTTCAACTCCATTTACTCTCACCCACAAACGCACTCAACCGCTGAGTTAGCTAATACCAAATGTGATCTGCTTAAATATTTATGCTTAATTCATTATATATAAGTAAATACGTACATATATGTGTATATATACAAGCGTTTTTTATGTACATAGTTACATGCTCATGTATGCCACATTATTCTCCTATTTACTGCCGCAAGAGCCGCTCTGCGCACAGCTGATTTCTGTCTCCACTACCTCCAGCCCCAGTCGCTCTGTGCGCAATGGCACAATCAGCTGCTTCATGCTATAGTTAGCATATATTATATGCTCTTACAGCGCTTTACAGAGCATCGTTCGTACTATTTGGTATACTGGTATAAGCACTCTGAGTCTACC